AATTTATTTGTGAGCTGAGAGACTTTAAAAGCTGAATAAGTTACTTAATCAGATCTAAATTTACTGACCAAAACTACTAAACACAGGCTGATCAGCAGGCAGATCACTATGTACTTAATCTAGGTTTTTTGATTGCCTAGTCAGAAAAATGAAGTCATGGGATAAACAAGCAATAATAATTAATATGGAAAGGAAGACTTCAATAAAAAAACAAATTAGGAGGACAGCAAAGGGCAGGATCTCCTTTTTCAACTTCAATCTTGTGAGCAGTAACAAATTATTGCTACTGTTCTTATATTATTAGCCCACTGAATAATAATGTAACAATTAAAGTTACTTTTGGACTGGAAGGGGTATAGAAAGCTATCTAACTAGCCAGTTCCTCTGCCAAGGAATGAACCAACACATATATTAACCTATTTATACGTTTAAGAATCCTGTCTGAAAAGAAAACTCTAACAATTTATATTAGAAAAAGGTAAAAATTCAACCTGATGAATTTGCTTTTAATGGGAAAGGATAATTTGGCCTGATCAGTGGCTTGGTCTTAATGAGTTCAAGAGAGATGCAGTTTTATTACCTTCAAACATATACACTATCATTTTCTATCATAATATTGGCATGCAAATGGGTTAATAAAATGATATGGGGGATGCTTAAAATTTTATTGGGGTTAGTGAAAAAGAAACAGATTTCCCTTATGTCGTCAGTTTGCTTCAGAAATGCTTTTGTTCATAGTAAATAATAGACACTTCAGAGCAGCATGTCAAAAAGATAAATTATAAAAGGAGATTTATATCAATGAGTTTTTACTGTATTTCTATAGAGCATGTTCATGAATCATCCTTATAACCCATTTCTCTGTAGTTTATTAAATTAATGAAAAGTCACTCTCCACATAATACATTGGAACATCAAACATTCTGAATACAAAATGTAAGTTTTGAAATATTCTAAGGTAAAAAGGCACCTCAAGATGTATCTCCATTAACACATCTTAAGACGTAGTCAAATCTACGTGGCCAATTTATGGAGATTATACATGCAAATAAATATACAATGTATAAACAATGAACTTAAGGAGTTTTATCAATCACAGATGCAATAAAATACTTGCAAAAATTCAGCAAAAGACCCTAGATTTTGCAGAGAATTTTCAGAGCAACATACTGTACTTAGTTAATTTCTACTTTGTTTCCTTTTGGTATTACCCAATAATTCTTTCCAAAACACTTAGGAATCGAACATTCTAGGCAACAATATTTTCCAAAGTAATTTCCTTACATCTAAGTGTCCCCTCTCTTGCTGCATTTGTAAAGTACAGAGTGAACGTGCCAGGACACGTTTCTCTCAAATATCCCAATACACTCACCAGTACCTCAACTTTGAGTACCTTAGTTTCTTCATCCATAAAATGGAAACTTGAAAGGTCTTATCTTTTGAACTTCCTTTGATCTTTTAAATCAAAGAAAATAATTGTGTAAAAGGTGACTTTAAAAAAACCATCCTTCCTCTTATTATTTAGAAGGATTTACTAGAGTTGGCCTTTACTTATACATCTCAAACTTTTTTATTTGGAAATCAGATTTAGATCAAATCCTAACAAAACCCATCACTGAATTACTTTAAACACCTGGACAAGTCACTGATGAGTTGATTTTCTTTAAAGGCATAACTAATATTCTCGTTTCCTATGCTTCATGAGCGTGTTAAGGAAGACTACTTAGATAACCAAACACATCAGAGAAATTTTTTCCAACAAAAGGCTTTTTCCAGCCTTTTGACATAATGAGGGCCAATTGCTCTCTTTCTACTGAAATTCTAAACACTCACCTCTGTAGGTTCCAATCACATCACCTTCCAATGTGGTGAGTCATGCATGAAACAAACACATTTTTTAATGTTTGCATAACTATCCCTTAGAAAATTTTAAAAAATTAATAAACTCCACGCCTTTTTAGGTTGGGATGCAAAACATGAAGAAATCTGTTTTGCTTCTAAATGCTAAAAACTACATTCAAATCGCCAGTGGTAAAAAATCTGTTATCAATATAGTAATATAAACTACCATATCCTCTGGGGATATGCAAGTTTTGTGAAAAACCTCATTACCTTCAATGTTACTAAAATCCCAATATCCAATGTTAACAGGTAGTTAATAATAGCAACAACATTGATGGGATAGGTAGCACAGGGTCAAAGACCAAAAAAGATTCTATACTACCGGTAAACCAGAAACCCAATCTTTAATATCTCTTAGTGATACGGTTGAAAGGATTCCTACAAATATTTTTGTAGGATTTAATCCAGTATTTGTCTACTTCTACTCTCTTCACTTATCCTAGAAATCTAAAATGTTCACATGACTCTGCAACTACTAACCAAGAGTGAGAATGCATAATGACTAGGCTAAATGTTAGTGCTAAAAACTCTAAGTTGCACTGCAATTTACCTTGAACAGATGAAACACTAGTGAAATACGAGTAATAACAGTACATTTAAAATATCAGTAAATACTAGTTTTTAAAAAAATGTCCAACCATGGTACCCAATGGATTTTGTCATATGGCTCTAAGATTGAGATAACATATGTCATTTAACTATTAACTAATATTAATAAATTACCATTACTCAATTTTGGATTACACATGTATGTACATACACACATATACCTACTCCAATAATACATCGTTCATGAGAATAGCTGGCATATCCCAGGCTTGCCTCTAAATTCTCATACTTTACTGTGCATCAGAATCACCTGGAGACCTTTGTTAAAGCAGACTGATGTTTCCCAGAGTTTCTAATTCATTAAGTCTACAGAGAGGCCCAAGAATTTGCATTTCAAATTCCCAGGTGATACAGATGCTACTGGTCCAGGGACCATACTTTGGGAACTGCTACTGTAAGTGATCTGTGAGTCTCAAAAGCCAATTACAGAGAAAGAGAGAGAGAGAGATCAAGCTAACAGGCAGTTCTAGGGAAGAAGGCAGAGGATAAAAGTGAACCAGATATTTCCCTCCATCCTGATACTTGCCCTTTACCTTGCTGGTTAGCAAAGACTAAGGAATCAACAAAGATTTCTCAAATAACAATTTACTTGGCTGACATAGAAACCTTTTCATGCTTAAAGGCTAGATAGATTGTTCCCATTACAAGTTTTAGAAAAATAATATTGCCTGAAACCCTTCGGCCTTTCAATACCCCTAGGTGGGAATACTTTCAAGAAGATACTGAAGGGGCACAAAAAGCTAACTAATGAGTTTTCCACATTAAAAAAAATTTAATGCTCAGCAGTGAGACATGGGCGAGCAATGAAAATCAACAAGCAAATCCTAGAACATGCAGAATATCCACACTATAGAAACAATATGATGGTTTGGAATTTGTCAAACATGTATTAAAATTTTATTTAAGTGAAAGTTTTTCTTTTTAAGTTACTGAGCCATATAAAGGGAAAATATTAATTTTATTAGAGTTTGAACAAATGTTGCACAAAGAAAACATTTTAACGAAATGGTATGGTGGCATAACAAACAAAAAAGAAAACAGCCAAAGATATGTAAAAGAAATAGAAGGTGGAAAAATGTTAAATATCTCATGATCCAGAGTGGAAACAAGAAGTCTAAACTTAAACACCAAGGATTTTAAAAAGCACAACCATAAAACAAAAAGTTAATGTTTGTGCTATCCTAACCAGACACATTCTTCAGCAAAACTTTACAAGGCAAAGTTATATTTTACAGGATTTGATATCTTATTTCTGACTTTTTCAGAAATGGAGAACTGTTTATGTAATTCAATCTCACAGTTGAAAAAGCAAGTTTAAGCACTGGGAAATAAGTATTCTACCATTATAATGACAGGTGAGGCAAAACAACTGATTAGTCTTTAGTGCTACATTTTTCAACTGTAATAAGGACGTGATCCAACCAAAACAAGTCTTAAGCAATTCAGAATTCTTTTCTAATGCCCAAGGAACGCCTCTGCCCAGCCTGATTGCCATATATGGGAATCAAGAAGCTAATAACAATAGAGCACTGTCAGGGACAAATGTAGGAAGAGAGGACACAACAGGGTTTTGATCTTTTATAAGGTAATTGTCACCATTTCAGACTACCAAATGCCAGAAGTTACTTAAATTATTTAAATACATGTCCCCATCTTTGCAATTTGTTTCTAAATACTGATATATTCATTTTTTTACACTGCCCACATCAGGTTAATAATAATATAAATCGATTTGAAAACTATAATGAAACACTTCAAGAATATGTCTTTGAGTATTTCTCTGTCATACCTTGATCTTTACACAAAGATGCAATTCTCACTTTTTTAGTAGAGAAGTCAATGAGAAATTAACCTGGAAATGTTGTAAAGAGATTGTCATCCAAGACAGGTTTCCACATTTCACGATTGTCATCTTACAAAGATACCAAATTTCACATTTTTAAATGTCTTAAGACAACATAGTTGTGATTTTTATGAACATCAAAAGGCAAAAATTTTAAATGCATACGAAAAAAAGTTAAGCCCTTTGTATTCTGAATATTTGAAATTTATTCATATAATACGCCTAATTCAAATTTAAAATGAGGTATATTTTCTTCTCTCCAAATAGCAAATACCTAGCAAACATATAATACCATGAAGTTTCAAATTAAAATAAATTCACAGGCATTTTGTTTGCTTTTGCTGTAACCTGTCATCTAACACATTGCTGAGTCTTTGGATGTGGCATCTAACAAAAAAGAAAGTTGCATATGGTCACCCTCTGTAGATAGCTGTAAATACCTAAGGTGAAAAGATTTTTGTGGATTATTTTTAAAACATGATAAATGGCATTACCAAACATTAGTCATGATTTTAAATATCATGTAAGCATATACAGTTGTCCCTCGGTATCCATGAGGGATTGTTCTAGACCTCTGCAGACACCAAAATCCATGGGTGCTCAAGTCCCTTATATAAAATGGGGCACTATTTGCATATAACCTACACACATCCTCCTGTAAATTTTAAATCATCTCTAAATTACTTATAATACCTAATACAATGTAAATGCTATGTCAGTAGTTGTTATACTGCATTGTTTAAGGAATAATGACAAGAAAAAAAGTCTACATGTTCAGTATAGATGCAACCATCACAGGCCTTTCCATCCGCGGCCAGTTGAATCTGCGGATGCAGAACCCATGGATACCAAGGGCCGACTGTCTTAGAGATCATCCATGTACCAATTGTATAAGGGGGGCACTAGAAAATAAAAACTTTATAATGATCTTATGGCAGTATTTAAGCAATTGAATGTTTTTATCTGAAAAACCTATGCCGCAAAAGTTTGAATCAAAGTTTTGCTTTTTGAGCATGGGTTGCAACCCACAGAAAACATGAGGAATAAATTGCTTGGTCAGGATCTTGTTAGTTTAAGCAGCAAAAAATTTAAGAACCAAAATATGCACACCATTAAAAATACTAATTCTGAAAATTATGTTGCTAAAAATTAAATCACCCTGTCCAGCAAGTTCCAAAAATTTCACACATTTCAAACATTAAGGCAACTTTTTCCCAACTAAACAGTACTTTATAAAAATATATGTCACTTCAAAACATTATATACAAAGTGACAATAAATTTAGCTAGTTGTAACTTTAATACATTAATAAAGTGTCACATATTACAAAGAAATTGTACTAGGTGCTCACATGTATGTGCAAGTGGAGTTACAGTTTTTAAAGTACAGGTTTTAAAACTGAGCGAAGTGAACGTCCTTCTTTAGTGAGTTCTCGTGTCACACACATACACGGCAATGGGACTGCTTCCTCCCGTTTCTCTACAATGTTGTAACTGCATTTCTTCAAGTGGTCAGCCATGCTTAGGATGTCAGCAAATTTCCATTCATTAACAGAACAAAATGCAGTACTGAATCGCCACACCTAAAAGAAAATTCTACTTCAGATTTAAACAAGTCAATTTATAAGAATCAAAGCACACTTCTTGCTCTAACTGCACACGTTCCTAGTGTTGGAGAAACATCCAACACGTGTAAAGTTTCAAGCAGTTAGCTACAAAATTGAAAAGTAGTAAATCCATTTGGATACAAATCTGTTCATCAAATATTTATAAGATAAATCACTTCTATGACATTATGACTTCAATAAATGTAATAACCGAAAATAGAAAAAACCCAACATTAAAAATCACATCCAACCTGGCTTATTAGGCAATTTTTTGAAACTCATAACCTCATGAATTCAAAGCTACTTCCTAAAATAACACATAGTATATACACTCTTCTTTCATCCCATCCAATTGGCCATATGCAACTATCCATAGTCTGGAGACATTGACAGTACAAGTGTTATCTTTTCTCTAAGTTTTCTCCCATTCCTATGACACTATGTAATATAGTGTATTAATACAGTATAGTATGCTATGAAGCATACTAAAAAATACACTATAATATTGTGCCAAGGTACCTATCCATCCACAATTTTAACTACTCAAGGTCCTTAGTAATATTCAACAATACGGCTGCATCAATTTGTTCAAAATGTTTCTGAATATTTATATAAAAAGAGCTTTTGTAAATAAATCTTACTTTACTCCATAACATTGTAAAACCCATTTCTAGACAAAATATTCACTTGCCATTCCTGTTCATGTGTCTGCTGGTAAAAATATGGACTACTTCCCCTTTTGCCCACTCAGCAATCCAAAGCCCTGAAGCACCGTTGTCTTATTAGTCCAGCAACGACTGCTGTGGCCTCCCCCATCTTTACAACTCAAAATACGAACCTACTGAACACAGGTAACAAGCCTGAATGGAGCAGCACAGACTTAGGTAACAAGCAAGCAGGGGACAGGACAGGCCTTGGCACCCCAGCTAAGCTCATCAACAGGCAAAGGTCTGGTCAGAGAACGAATACATGGTAAACAGCAGACACTCTAGAAAGCAGCAGTGGATTTGAGGGCAGCACTCATTAGAGCTTCTCAGCAAAGGATGGTAATGCCTTCCAGGGCAGCCAGATGCCTTCAAATTTGTGGGAACACAACGATTTTTCAGCTGGCAATAGAACTCACCACTGTTCACAGCACAAATGGTACTTACTTGCTGTACTCCTGAGGGTTATATCAATTTCCCTGCATAGAGTCACTTCAAAAGCCAGTGAAGGCCTAGACAGGAGCTACCAACAGACATTATAGATGTCACTAGCCTCCCTTACAATTCCCCAGACTCACGAAACTACAAGAAAAATTGGGAGTTTTTGTTAAGCTTCAGCAGAACGACTTAGCTGAAAGAGTCAATGGTGGCAGACAGCTGCCCTACTTCCACACAATTAAGAGTCTAGTGAAACAAACTAAATGAATGGCTCCCACCTCCTGGTAACAAGGTTTCTTAGTAATGGGCCAATTTTTCAATCAAAAGTATCTATTAGGTACATAGTTAGGGCCTGCTATACGGCAGGTGCTGGGCTAGAAAGTATATATTTTGGTTCCCAGAGTCTCACCTCTCCAAGAACTTACTACAGTCTAATGAAAGAAACTGACAATTCATCAGAGAATTTCACAACAGCATGGTGAGTGCTTTAGCAGGGGTCTAGAGAGTAGGGGTATATAATGGGGTACCACACCAATACAGAGTAGTGTACCTCCCTGAAGGCTTCAGGGTGGGGTTCCAGAAAGCTTTCTTGAGGAAGTAGGTCTGAAGAGTAAGTAGGATCTAGCAAGGAGATGAAGATCGCAAGCTCCAGAGATGGCGCCCTAGGTTTGATCCATCAACTAGTTGGACAAGTTACTTAATCTCTGTAACCTCAGTTTCTTCATCCATAAAATAGGGACAGTACATTAAATAAGTTAACAAAAGTAAAATGCTTATTAGCACACTGTCTAGCATATTCCAAATGCTCAAACATAGGTATTAGGGACAGCACACTAAAAGGCCTTAAGGCAAGAAAGAAAACATCAGGCAACTGTGAGTAAATCAGTGTGGCTAGAATATAAAGTGACAGGAGGAAACTGAGGCGTGAGTCAGGACAAGATCATAAAAGGCCTTGAATGTTCATTAACAAGTCTGTCTCTATCCCAGGGCAATTCACAAACATTTAAAAAGTTTTTAAGCACTGCAGTGTAAGAACTGTATTTAAGAAAATATTTATCACTAGCTCGTACACAGAGAACATGCGGAGAGGGACCCAATTGGAAATAGAAACTCAGTTAAGGAGGCGGCTATGGTAGTAATCCAGAAGAGAAGGGAAGTTGGGACTGAGCTAGGGAAATGGCAGCAGACACAGCAAAGCAAACCTGAGAGGTATGAAGAAGGGAGACTCAGTAGGACTTTGTGATTCTCTGGATACGGAAATAAAGGGGGACAAAGGGGTCAACCCTAACCCCAACTTCCTAGTTTAGGTAATTTGATAGATGATAATGCCCCTTTCTGAGATTAAGAGGGTAGAGAAGTGGAGGAGGCTGGACATGTCAAGCCTCATGAAGCTGTGGGAAAATCAAGTGGAGATGCCCAGTAGATGCTTGTGTATAATGGCCTGGAGTCCAGAGGAGAAAATGGCCAGGCTATAGCTGTGTGAGTAATCTGTATGAATGATGGCAACTTAAAATCCAAGAGTAGATGAGATTTTCTGCAGGAGGAGAATCCCCAGAAAATATTTCACCTCACAGGTCAATACTCTGAGCAAGGACAAAGCCATGCTCAGAGAGTCCCATCCCAAATGGGAGAGATACCAAATCATCTGGAAAACAACAATACACACATACATGCAGCAAGAACCAAAGTTTCTGCCACTGGGATTCCCCTTTGGAAAAAAAATCATAAAACAATCAGTGTGTTCATTTATTGGGTAAAGCCTCAGGAGAACACAGTAGATGTAGAATTCTAAAAAACTGGAGCAACGAGTAAAAGAGAGAAAACCTAAGGGTGGTAAGAACAAGTAGCCAGAAATTTGAATCTTATCCAACCAATGTAACCTGTATCAAATTTTTTTCCACTTTATAAAATGCAAAGTTTCATAATATAAATATTTTAAAATGAAAAACATCTTCAATCAAAGATATCTGTAATGCGTTCTAGTTTCTATTGGATAATGGCTCAAAAACAAGCTGGGCAAAAGTGGGTATCACAAGAGAAATGGTGGGGCCAGGATTTGTTCCCAGATCTGCCTAAATCTCCAGCTCAGCTTCCAACCCTCCCCTGTACTGGACTAAACCCAGAGTCCCCACCAACAATATTAAATCCTGCTGCCCTGCTCTTCCCTCACTGCAGCCTAGGGCATTTCTACACCCATCACTGACGTTCTCTATCCCCCAAACGCTCCACTGGTCACTGACTAGTGCAGTAGTTACAACTTCTCCTCATCTCTCCCTATTTCAGTTCTACCTGAAACAACCAAGTTCTAAGAAAGAAATTGCTAAAAATGGAGAGAAACTGCCAATTGTAAGCAGTAAAAAACCTTCTCCTTGTTTCCTCCCTTGTCCTATGGTGAAAATGTTTCAGATGGAGCCCAAATTAGGTGGCTGACGTGGACTCAAACAAAGGGAGTTTTTACAGAAGAACTGAATGGAGATGGAACTGCTCAACTGAAGAAACAGATGTGGCCTCTGCCATATTAAATAAGAACCCAGTCCTAGGATGTCTGCAGTGAACATGGATCTATGACAAACAATTCTAACTATCCTAGTTTTTCATTAATTATCACTATTTTTAAAAGTTTGTCACCATTTGAGTTAATGTTTTAAGGACGGTCAATTTTTCAACAAGATATTAATTTTATTAATTCAGCAACATTATTAAGTGCCTATTATACATCAAATAAGGAGTTGATATGGTTAAGATTCAACTAACCTTTTCTTTAATCTGCCATGATGAATTTCCTTCTGGGTACTTCCTTTTCCCCCACTGCAGTATGACCATTCCACGAGACTGAAGCAGACTGCCACATACATCCCTCATTAACCTGGATACACATGAGAGCTGGCATAAACTGAAGCCATCGAGAAAGCCTGCAATATGTTGTAGGAGCTCAAAAGGAAGACTACTTAGATGGTCACTATGTAATCCCAACACACAGTTTCTAGCAGGCTCTACTAATACTGTAGACACACATGGCTGAACTCCAAATGACCTCAAGTGGCGGTCATGTATAACCTTTGCTCCTTGTGTTGACGGACAAAATCTACGCTGAGAATAGGTACAACCATAATATGCTAAAGGACACCTCTGCTCCATCCAGCCATTAAGTCCAGCATGAATGTCACCATGCACGTTCTTAAAATGTGAAGAAAATTCTTTTCTTCTAAATAATTGTCCACAAACAAATGTAAACATTGAACGCTGCTTCGGTTGGTACCTAGCGACACATTCCAATACTAAATCCAGCCCAAGTGTCTGAAAAGGACTGGGATTTGAAAGCTGGGGGTTGGCATGATCACAAGCTGAAGCTGAAGCTATTTCCCCAACCATTGTATTTGTAGCTAAGATTGCAGACGGAAGTGAAAACGTCTGAGTCCCAAAGTCCACGTGACAGACATCAACCATGCGACTATCAGATATACCCCTCCCTCCTGGAGAATCTCCTAGACAAAACAGTAATGCTGCTGTGATTAGATCTATTCCTTGGAGGCCCATTGGATCTTCTGCAACTTCCAAATCTGACGTATCTACTGCTTTATCTTCCTTTGGTTTAGACCAACATGAATTAGAAAGAAATTTGAATGGAGGAGGATGACTGAAAGATAATACATCCACATTCCGTAAGTCCTCCAAGTCTACTTTTCTCCAACACAATTCTCCTTCATCCTCATCATCTGTGCCATTTGGCAAAGCATTAGATGGTATTACTTCCCTAAGTTGTGCTGCTACTGAAAGTGAACTGGAAGGTTTTGAAGTGCCATCTGATGCTACACATTCTCCATTTGTTAAGTTACTTTGTTCTGAATCACCACGTAAATTCTGATTCTGGTCTATGACCTGTGTACATATATCTTCCAAAGGAAAGCCATTACAAAGAGCAGAAGTACCATAAGAACTAGTATTCAAGTCACATAATAAATCACTTGAACCATTTTGTTCAGACTGGGCATTCTGACTTGTGTCGTTATGGTCAATTCCACCTACTGCTCCCATCTCATCCTCATAAAGATGGTCCTGGTCTTTCAAGGTTCTATTCTGTAAGCTTTCTCCGGCATTTTGCTCTTCATTCATTTCATTTGGGGAAGCACGAAGACTCGAACTTAACATGCCAATGTCTCTTGTGGCAGTATTCAGGATATCTAAAGCAGCAGCCAAACTTCTGGTTGTTTCTACAGTAGCTTGATAAAGTGCACCATAAGATTCTTCATCAACAGACACCAAACCATTAGCATGTGGTATTTCTGGGACACTTGATTTAACTGAGATTTGTTCTCTAGGTTCTGATACTTTATCAGTCGCTTTTGACATCATGGTGGCTACTTTGAGAGATTCTAAGAGCATCCTTTGGTCTTGAAGGGCCAAGGCCATATCTAATTGTGCCACTTCATCAACATCTCTGCTTAGATTTTCATACGATTTCCGGTCTGCGTAACTAACTGGCCATCGGTTCCACTCCATCGTACAGCACACCACACTTGCAGGACACGTCTCTAGATGTTCAGCAACTTTATTTCGAGCCATTGTAAATGGACATCCAAAGTCACTATTTAAACAAGGCACTCGTTCAAAAGGACATAAAAGTCGGTGTTCATCAGCTTTACAAGAATGGAAAACTGCTCCACAAACCAATGGACAACCAATCAAGTCACAGGAAACCCCAGGCTCTGGTCTGGTCATACACCGTCGACTGACACAGTTCACACAGTGCGAATGCTGCAGCTCCTCCTCCATAATGGCCAGTCCAGCTCTAGTTGTTGAGATGGAAAAAAGATAAGAAGTTACGCAAAAGGTGGTGGATTTTTAAAAACTGTTTAAAAACATATTTATAACAAGTTTATTTTACATATAATCAATCCATCTTGAAACAACTTAAGCACTTCAAGTAACAATTCAAAAGTTCACTTTTATATACCATATAACAATATGCCTAAAAGGCTCAATGTTTCAAAACATAATACTTAAATTCTAGCATATTGTGTAGTATATAAATTAATGGCAAAAACAAGTTAATGCATATTTAACTTTTAGATTTCAGAGAATGCGTTAGCTTTTACCTTTTTTTTTTGCTGAGGAAGATTCACCCTGAGCTAACATCTGTTGCCAATCTTCTTTTTGCTGAGGAAGATTCACACCCTGAGCTAATATCCATGCCAGTCTTCCTCTATTTTGCATGTGGGTCACCGCCACAGCATGGCCACCAACCAGTGGTGTAGGTCTGTGCCCGGGAACCGAACCTGGGCCACAGAAGCAGAGCATGCCAAACCTAACCACTAGGCCACGGGGCTGGCACCAGCTTTTACCTTTCTAATTTCAACTAAACTATTTTTTTTTTTTTTTTTGGTGAGGAAGATTGGCTGCGAGCTAACGTCTGCTGGCAATCCTCCTCTTTTTGCTTGAAGAAGATTGTCGCTGAGCTAACATCGACCTTCTGTGCCAATCTTCCTCTATTTTGTATGTGGGACGCCGCCACAGCATGGTTTGATGAGCCACGGTGTGTAGGTCCGCGCCCAGGATCCGAACCTGAGAACCCCAGGCCACTGAAGTGGAGCATGCGAAGTTAACCACTAACACTGATTCTGATGTACCCCACATTACAGAGATATAATCACATTCCTAAAAGAGAATAATCTGAATTTCATGAATATACTAAACTAAAACTTTATTAGTTTTCTTTTTATTCCCTCTAAATATACGAATTCATTTAAGATTTCATCTATTGATCTCTCCTTCTACATATGCCTTAATAAATTCTACAACAAATCAACAGAGTAAGCCTTAATTAAAACATATAGAGAATTCACCCAGAAAATATAAGTTCTAGCTCCAGTTCTGTGGCTGTGGGCAAATCATTTACTTCTGAGGGCCACAGTTTCCATTCGTTCATTAAATATCTACTTATTAGCTACTATGTATCACACACTGTGTCTGGTGTGGCAATATAAAGATTAGTAAGACATGGTGCCCCCTCTCAAGGAGCTACAGCAGGAGGTCAGAGACTACAGTAAAAACCATGTCACACTATTATGTTATCAATATAACAGAAGTAACAGGGCAACACAGAGAAGATAACGATCAGTATGAGTAGGGGCTAGAGAAGAACTCACAGTAGTCTTGAAAGATGAGAAGCCTTAAGCATAGGAAGGTAGGGGTTGGAAAGGAAGGGAGGCATTCAATACTGAAGTAACAGCATATGCAAATGCAGAAAAGCAAGAATTGGCAAAATATGTTCAGGGAACCTCAAGTTTCCAAATAACGGTGGATCACAAAGTGAAATGCAAGAGAGCTGTGAGAGATGAGGCTGGACAGGAATAAGGCAAATCATGAAGAGTGTACTACCTGCTACTCTAAGGAGTGCAGACTCACTGGAAGTCACTAACGATTTTAAGCAGAGAAATAGTATCCATAAAATTACATGATGGGATTACAGACATCTTTTTTCCCTGCCTTTTTTTTTTTTAATTTTTTTTTTTTTCAGGGAAAGATTCGCCTTGAGCTAACATCTGTTGCCAATCTTCCTCTTTTTGTTCCCCCTCCCCAAAGCCCCAGTGCATGGTTGTATATCCTAGTTGTAAGTCCTTCTAGTTCCTCTATGTGAGCCATCACCACCACAGCATGGCAACTGACAGACAGGTGATGTAGTTCCGTGACCAAGAAGCGAACCCGGGCTGCCAAAGCTGTGAGAACGCCAAACTTTAACCACTAGGCCATCAGGGCTGGCTTGGGTCTTTCCTGCTTTTATCAAGAAAAGTCTTATACAAAAATAAGAGAAAGTATTAGCATATGTCGATTTAATTATAATTACTTGAGCTTATTCAATGTTTTTCTTCTGTAATCTTCAACTTCTTTATTGGCTTGTTCCCACTAGCTGGAAAAGCTTAAAAGACTATTTCATCTTTAAAAGCCTAAATAATAAAACAATATCCCCCTTTTGCTACTATTCTTTTTTTCTTTTTTCCTATTCCGTCAAGCTTTCGGAAGGAAAAAAACGCTTCTAACCTCCCATACTCTTCAGCTCTCTAATCTGGCTTTATTTTTACCACCACTCATTAAAACCGCTCTACTAAGATCCTCAATGCTAAATCCAAAGGGCATTCTTTCCAGACCTCATCTTCCTTGGCCATTATATCATTATGTTGATTAATCCCTCCTTTTTGAACTATGATCTTTCCTTAGTTTTCATGATGTCACATTTCCCTGGGTTTCCCCCTACCCCTTGGTTATTCCTTAATCCTTTCTTCTAAAACTATTACCACTCTTCAGGGATCCATGTCATTTCTTGCTCATTCTATACATTCTCCCTGGCGTTCTCAATTCCTCAAAAACTTCAATTAGCACCTGTATGCTGAAAACTCATCCATACCTCGTGCCCAGATCCCTCTTCCAAATTTCAGATCCCTACAGTTAATTACTTATGGTATTTCTCTACCTGTATATGGCACAGGTAACTCAATGCAACTTTTCCCAAATTAAATTACATTGTAGTAGATAATAATTTTCTGGATAAGAAGTCAATTCTTAGCATATTTTCTTCACTTCACTGCATAAAAGATTGCTAGCTCTCTGACTTTTTTTCCCATAAATTCTATCTCGGTTCCAAGCGGCTAATGTAAACCAATTACTCTCCAAACGCTATTTCTTTTTCTCTTAGTCCAGGCTAGATTTTCCTCAAACTAGAATAACAAAAGTCTACTTATTATTGACAGAGCTTTCGTTGATTAAGTAGAAAAGTTCTGGGTTGATATTATGGTGCTTAACGATGCCAGGGGGAAAAAAACAGAACACACATTTAACAAAAAAACTGTATTTTTAAATTATGTTTAAAAATTACAAATTATGAGTTAAATACTTTTGAATGTTTATTCCCATAAATTTTATAGGTAAGGACAGAACCTATAAATTAAAGATAAACATTAAAAGAGTCATAATAGAAGAAACGACAGACTAATGATAACAAACATTTGTCAATTAAGCAGATATTCAAAGAGAAACTTCAACAAAAATTAAGACAAATTTCACTGAGTGATTAGGTTATACAAACAGCTGTAGCTTTCTTATTTTGCAACAACTAGACTCACATGCTGATGGTTATAAGCCCGACTGTTACTAAGAGAGAAACCTAAAAATACAAGGAGGGCCAACAGCAGTGACCACTGCCCTCAGAACTTGTAGGAACACTTTACATTACGTCCACATCACACGACCACACCAGGCAGAACACATCTCAAAAACATTACTTAATTCAAAAGTGTTTAAAATAGCAACTGCTACAAACAACTGAGTTAAATGCAAAACAGCAACAACTTTGAAAGGTAGAAGCAGAGGGCTCTCAGGCTTCAAAATATATAGCTTCTTCCATACTACTCTGCTCTGAATAAGAAAAATGTTTAAAAAAATAAAAATAAAAGCATCCATAGGAATGAGTCCACAATATTTACTCCTTATTGAAGTAGACTTAGAGCAAAGGAAAAGGGAACACTTAACTATGTGCCTATTTTATCCTTCTTTACATATATCGGGTAACTTAATGTCACTTAATCCTCATAACAACCCAGAGGAAACAGGTCAGAAAGGCTAAGTGACTTACCCAAGGCCATCTACCTAGTAAGTGGCAGAGCTGGGATTTAAATCTATATCTGATCAATGCACATGGACAATAACAAATATGTTTACTTATAAAAGTTTAAGAAAATAAGGCAGCACTTCAGTAACTGGTGATCCAATTTTAAGATGTTATTTGAGGAATGGAGATTACACAACTTTCCTTGTAGTTTACTCCAACACTTAATCACCCCTGTGGTCAAGAAAGTCTTTTTGTCCTTTCTAATTATAATAGCATATTACTTTGCTCTGAATATAAGTGTTTTAAAATAAATTATTTTACAAATAATTTACATCTATAATAATGCTCAGTATAAATGTATGCAACAACAATATAAATTTAACAGTTCTCAAAACAGCTATACAAAGCAGTTTATTTCTATTTTACAACTAAATGTATTAAGAAATGAGTTAAGAAAATGAACTGGACAATACCCAAAGAGTCTTTTGGGGACAGAATCTTCAGCTTCGGAATTTAAAATTTTCAAGGTCTGATCAAGATTGCTATTATCAAATACGCCTCCATAAAGCATTTCGCAATTGCTCATAAATCCTGTGAAACGGGTTTAAAACGTCAATCCCTGATTTATCAGTTGAACAGCGACACAGCAGGCCCAGTGGAAAACATGTTGCTAAAATTGAGGCGTAAAGTACAAGATGAGCTTAATTAAAGAAAAAAAACTTAATATTAAGGAGGTTTAAAACTCTTTTGAAAAAGAATCTTAACATTCCAAATAACATCTCTGGTAATTTACACTTAAAGTTGAGTGACTGGAAAAAGTTTCATTAGACTAGAAAATATTTGTAAGTGATTAAATGCTTTGAAACAGTTTCAATTTTCTCTAACAGAAATTCTTGGTCAACTCATATTCTGTGGCTGACAAGCAATCCATAAAAATAGTTTTAAGACATGGCATTGGCCCATACAATGAAATAAAGACTTGCATTTAGGCTATTTCTAGACATAAAGATACTGCCCTCAATAAACCATTTCTTTATTTTTCCAAATTCATTACAATCTATAACGAGATAAATAAATAAAACATTGCAAATTAGCATGATTGTAAAATATTCTAAATCAAGTCACCCAAAATATTCAACACAGCTTGCTGCCCCAGGCTGTTGTTAATGTCTGCCTCAGCCTCCAAGAGACACACACACACACACACACACACACACACACACACACACACACGTACGTGCATGCCCACCTCTTTCCCTCCCCAACTGCTGCCTCAAATCTTTCCGTCTCAGTTTAAACGTTACTTTTCCACATACCCGAAGGCAAGGTATGTATCCCGTATTATACACTATGTGCTCACTAC